AAAAAAAAAAAAAAGAAACACAGCAAAATGACAACAATAAATCCTGGCCTATCAATCATCATACTTACGATGAATGGACTAAAAGCACCAATCAAGATAAAATAAGTAGCAGAATGGATTAAAAAAAAATAAAAAGCCCATCATTGTGTTGTCTACAAGAGGCACATCTAAGAAACAAAGAGACAGATATACTCAAAATCAAAGGTTGGGGATAAAAATTATACCAAACAAATGGTATCTACAAAGAAAGTTGGAGTGGCAATACTAATCTCTGATAAAATAGACTTCATGATGAAATCATTGTAAAAGATAAGGAAGGACACTATATAATGATTAAAAGCACGGTTGATTAAGAAGACATAACCTTGATCAACATCTACACGCCAAATAATAGACCTTCTAAATAAATATAAAACAACTGTTAACAGATTTAAAGAAAGAGATAGCACACCACTCTCATCAAAGGATAGGTCAACTGAAAAGAAGCTTAACAAAGATGCAGAAGATCTAAACTATATATGCAGCCAGCTCATGTGGATGTATTCTGAGTACTGCATCCATTTAAAACTCATTCCCTTTCTTTTCAAGTGACATGGTACATTCTCTAGAATGGATCATGTATTAGGGTACAAAGCAAGCCTCAATAAGTTAAAAAACATCGAAATAATCAAAGTATCTTCTCAGAGCACAATACCATAAAACTGGAAATTAACCACAAGAGGATACAACTTATAAAACCAGTCATGTAGAAGCTAAATAACACCCTGCTGGAATATGATTGGGTTATAGGAGAAATTAAGAATGAAATAAAAAAGTTCCCTGAAAGGATAATGTAATGAAATGATAATGAAAATGCAATGTACCAAAATCTCTATACAGCTAAGGATACAGCTATGGGAGTCGTCAGGGAGCAGTTCACAGCAAGACAAACACATAAAAAAATGAAGAATGAGACAAAATTAATGATCTAACTTAACACCTTCATTAAATAGAAAAAGAGCAACAATCTAACTCCACAGCCTATAGAAGATAGGAAATTATAAGAGCAAGAGCTAAAATCAATGAGATAGAAAATGGATAAACAATTGAAACCATCAATAAAACCAGGAGCTGTTTTTTAAAAGAATCAATAAAATTGACAAACCAATGGCGAACTTAACAAAAGAACAAAAAGAGAAGACAAAAATAACTCGATTAAAGAAT